AAAGCAGAATATATCACTATGAAGTTTTTGAAAATATGCACCAAAACTCAAATATTTAAATATGAGTCATCCAGAGATACTATGTCCTTATTTCAACCATTTATTTTTTATTGCAACCTTTTCCTTTCTTTCCTTTTCCTTTTTTTTTTTTTTTTTTAATAATTTTTGGCAATTTCTCCTTAAAGCCAAAAAAAAACAAAAAACAAAAAAAAAAACCAAAAACCCCAACAACAACAAAAAACAAAAACCCAAAAATCATGGTTTAAAATTCACATCTTGTTATTTATTCAACGAATATATAAGGAACAACCAATATCTGTCAAAAATAGTGTCAGGCCCTGAGGATATAGCTTCTATTAAACACCTTGATCATCAGCCCTCTTCATGTTTTAGTTCTGACATTCGATTTTTTTCTTCAGTAGCAAGTCTTCCTTTCCCCCAAAATGAATACTGTATATTATTCAAAAGAATGTGACAGAGAGCTGGCATTAACATCTCATAAATTTAATGCTAACATATCCTTCTGTTTCTGGACATACTGGAAATAATGCCAGTAACACCTGACTTATTCTTTATCTATGGTGAATAAGCTACCCTACCCTATTGAATTATTGTGCTAACTGATGCTTTGCTATGCTATAAAAATTCTGACTCTTATACTAATGAAATTGAATTATTGTGCTAACTGATGCTTTGCTATGCTATAAAAATTCTGACTCTTATACACACGTTCTAGTGAACATAACTAATGCTTTCCATAATGACTTAGAATTCTTAAAATGAGCATTCAGCTGTGTAACAGAACTTACACTGCATTATTTTGTAGTCTATTAAATGCTTTTAGTGCTTTTTCATATATATAAATGTATATGATACATATTTATATACAGAGAATAAATACAATCTTAATTGTTTCTGTGAGTTAAGTAGTATAGATATTATGATCCTCAATCTACCAGTGAAGAAATCAAAGCTTAAAGAATTTAAAATAATTCCCCAATTATATACAGCTATTCTGGAAATTTATCAATAAATTTTCTACAAGTCCTACGTGTAGTAGCTATTAAGATAACTCTGTCATACAGTATTTATTTTATGACAGTGATATAAGAATATTTCTGAGTATAACCTGTCAGCCAGCTGTGCATTCAACTCATGGTTAAATTATTCACAGTATAGTTTCCCAATGTGTTGTGAAAATATGTACTCACAGAATTACTACACATTAATTTAGGACCACTAAAGATATGATAAGCTTACTACTATTAAAAACAATGAAAATACTTATTGATTTCATAATGATTAACATTTATTATGCCTATTGTTTGTTAGACATTGTGCTAGATACTTCACATAAATAATATCAGCCAAAATAATAGCTAACGGTATCACTATAAACCACTAAGATTTGGGGTATTGTTTGTTAAAGCAGCATAAACTAACCCATCCTGACTGATGAATGCTGAGAACTACATGTAATGGATGATCATATTATTACTATAACTATTAAAACTGTAAAAGATGACCCTGGCTTTAAAAAAAAGCAGTATATTTTACTACTAAGGATTTTTATTCTTTGTTTCAATGTAATCTAATCAATATTTTCTAACAGTTGTCCACTGAGATTACAGGGGATTATAATTAACACAGTGTCATAGTAAAGAGCAGTGTTCTTGAATCCCACTACTGGTCTGAATCCCAGTACCCTCCTTACTAGTTATATGAGTTTGGGCAGGCTATTTCACATCTCTGTGCCTCATTTTGATCATCTGTAAAGCAGTGATCATAATAGCACCTTCCTCATCAGATCCTGTGAGGATTAAATGATGTGGAAAATTTAATTCAAAATCCAGTAAATGAAAAATGAAATTTTAAAACTATGAATGATTATAAAGAATGAAATCTTTTTTTTTTAAGGCTAGCTATATTCACATAAAAAGCACTGTGTATGGTGTTTAATTCTAGGAGGTAGGATCATGAGTGATTCTTTTACCTTTGTGTTTTTCTAAATTTCAAAATAGTCTACAATAAATAGTATTACTTTGTAAGCAGATAGAAAATCAATCAATTCAAAAATTTATAAAAAAATGATAATTTACACATTGAGAGTTAAATATGACAGTATAAAATATATTCTTCCCTTTTCTTCTAAAGAATCATATAATTTTAGAGATGGATGAGATATTACGTGGTCACCTAGTTCAGCCTGCAGTTTATAGGAAAAAAACTTTTAAAAGTGAATTCATTTATTCACAAATCGTATTGAGTGCCTGCTACATGCTAGACATGGTTTTAGGCTATGAGAGTTAAGCAATAACAGAGCAGTGGCAGGCAACTGATGATGCATACGTAAATGAATATAGGTTTACTGTCCATTATCCAACAGCTTTAAGGCCAGATACACCGAAAATTCAGAATTTTGGGGGTTTTAGAAGGTAGTATACTGCTATCCTGCAGGTCTGTAACTGAACTTTAAAATTTCTAAAGTAAAACGTATCAAAGTTCATGTTGAATAGAATAAATATAGATTAAAAACAGCCTCGCATCAAATCGGGTCATTTTTTTAATCACCAAATGAGTTCAAGCCATGCCAGATACTGCTAACAAATGAAGTATGATGAACTTTAGGCTTTCAGAATTTTTTAGATTTCAAAATGTGAATAACGGATTGTGGGCTATATGTAATATGTCAAGTGGGTTAAAAACAGAGTATGTAGATAGGGAGTATGAGTGTGTGTGCATGGACATGTGTTCAGGAAGGTCCTCCATGATATTTAAGCAGAGATCCCAAGGAGTGAATTTTTAAAATAAGGGAGTGTGGAGTATTCTCAGTAGAGAAGAACAAATGCAAAGATGGAGGTGGAAATGTGTTTGGTATGATTAAGAGGGAACCATAAGAGGTAAGTAAGTGGTAAGAAATGAGGTCAGAATAATGAGAGGGTAAAGCAGGGATTCGCCTAGGGCCCTGAAGACCATTGTATGGATTTTGAAATTTGCTGAGTGAGTCAGGAAACCCCAGGAGTTCTGAGCAGAGGGTTGACATAATGCAACATATTTTAAAAGTTTTACTTTAAAAGAAATCTGTCAAGAATAGGCGGGAGGGGCCCAGGATGATTCAGGAAGAGGAGTTGGAAGGGCACTGTAAAAATCTAAGAGAAATGATGGAAACTTACATCAAGGTGGTAACAGTGGTTGTGGAGAAAAACACGTTCTGGATATATATTGCAGGTAGTACAGCGAGGATTTGTTGATGGATTGGTTGTAAGGTGTTAGAGCAAGAAAAAAAATCAAATATCATACAAAAGTTTTATATCTAATCAATTAAAAGACAAGACTTCTTATTTGCTGAGATGAGGAGGAGGAAATTTGGGGTGGGGGCAGTAGTTGGGGCACAGAGCTTGGATTTTGACATTCTAAATCTGAGATACCAGTTAATCATCTTCTAGAACTGTGCTGTTTACTACAATAGCCATTAGCCACATTTAATTTTAATTAAAAACTTATTTCCTTGGTTCTACTGGCTACGTTTCAGTAGCTGCATGTGGCCAGTGGCTACCACACAGGAAGGCCCAGAGAGAGAACATATCTATCCCTGCAGGAAGTTCTACTGTAAGGCACTGTCCTAGGAACTGTTTTATTGGGAACCTACTTTAGGAAAAGCAATGGTGTAAGAACAGTAAACAAGCAGGATCCCTACTTTGGAGGAATTTCCAGAGAAGAGAAAAAAGTGTTAAATACTAGAGTACAGTATAAAATGTGTTAGAAAACCGATTTTGTTGGGGCAAACCTTATGAAACATGGCTATTTAGGAAGAATAGTCCGCTACATCTTGGGCCCCAGGCCAAAGAAATTTGTTTCTATTAAATGCTAGCTCTGACCTCAGCTGAAGGAGATACGGGAACAAGATCACAAGAAGTGGGAACAGAGAATATTCTGAATCTTTAGTACTTTAAATGACACTAGGCACCAAAGTAGTGTGAATCAGAAAACTTTTCCCTCAGTCTCCTTTATTTCTTCCTCCCCTTTTCTTCTCTAATCCTTTGTTAGCTGTACTTTACGTTCTAAGCTACTTGAAGGCCGAAATACATTCTTTTCATACTTTGATTTGGGATATTGTAAAAGCAAATTCATTCTCTCAACTATAGCTTGGGACAGATGATCTGTTAAAGGCTTTATGTTTCACATACAGATTTGAGAAGCAGTTTGAACTCTGAAATAATGGCATTTCTGGGATGCTTATGGAAGAATCAAGGTAGAATATTTGAAATTGGGAATGTTTCAGAAAGCCTGAGATGTATAGGGACCAAACACACACAGCGTACGTACTCTTGCTGGGCAGTTTAACCAATTCATGCCAATTAAGTGTTTCAATCATGACCTCACTTTTAGTTATTCTATCTCTTATAATTATTTCCGAATGTGCTCTATTCCGACCACCTTAATATAACCTGTCAAGATAGTAAAAAATCAGAGTAGAAAGTATTTCTTTCTATACTACTAGACACATTCAATTGTTTATCAAATTATGTTGACAATTATGTTGTCTTTAGTTGCTAATTTGATTTGATTGCTTAATAGTACTGAGTGAGAAAATGTTAGCTGTCATATTTGCAGATTGCCAACTTGTGTACATATTTTTATATCTCAATAGTTTCCTAAAAGTAATTTTAGCTACCCAGAAAAACTCAATAATCCCTAATCAAGGCCATATGTGGACTTAAACCTAAGAAGTCGGTCTACAAGTTGCTTCACTATAAAAATTTTAGAATCATGTGCAGTTTTGTTCACTCAGTCCATATTCTGCTAATAGTATGGTTAAACTTTTACTATCTTAAACCACGGAAATCCTGGGATTGTCTGTTACAGCAGCAATTTTCCCTAATTAATAAACCCTCTATTATTTCTTATAGTAGAAACTAGGTCAAATACTATAAAATTTTCACTTAGTGTTTAGACTCCGAATATCAATAATTCTCATTGTAAGATAGATAAATATTTAAGCATGTATCAGAAGCATACTGAATTTGATGCCAAGAAAATCTAACACCACGACAGAAACAAGGATCAACAGCCCTTGGCTGGTTGCCAGTTGAGTCATCTCTTAGATGAATTCTGAATTCAATGAAGTATTTATGATATAGAAAAAGAGTTGTTTAGCCAAGTTTGGAGAAATATCATAAAACATCCATATTCAAATTATCAACTTTTCAAAACAGGTCTGGAATGAGTTATTGAGGGAGCAAAAATGGGGGGCAGATTCAGTCAAAATTTTTTTAGCTTGTTCACAAACAAATACACTCTTTAGTCCAAATGGATAAACACACACCTGGTACATCTGGGCACTTTCCCTTTGAAATTCTGTGTAGAAAATGTGGTTACCGTATGTGCAGGCAGCTCGCTCCACTCCTCAACTACCTGGACTTTTGTAAAAAACTACTCACTGGTTTTTGTTTGTTTTTAGCAAACAAAAACCGTGGCTTGATTTCTCAAATACAACAAAGTGAGGTTTGACACTTGCTAATCCTAGCTTTCATAAGCAGAAACCCCACAAAAAATGTTGAATATTTTAATTCAAATAAATTATTGAAGACTTTTAAAAGACACACTAAATAAGTTGTTTGAAAAGAACACTAAATTAAACTAAATGCCCCATCTTTAATAATGAAACAAGTCCACAATGTAATACTGGTCCTAACTGCAAGAAAATTTCATTAAATGTGAAAGCCTAAGAGGAAAGCCTAAGAGTTTCAGCATTATTTTAATATATGAGTATGCTATACAGTATTTAAGGTAAAATCAAAAGATGTCAGTATTTTTTTAAAAAAGCCTCTGTCTTTGTATAGGGCATTGCCAACTTCTGATGTAGCATCGGTTACAATGCAGGTGGCACAATTGCCTCTAAAATGCTCAGGTGCTCTTGTGACACTGTGACTTGTTTCAATCTTGAGCTAACTTGACATGCTTCCAATATAAACTAACATGATATAAAATAAACTTCTGATAAGAAGCCCAAAGATAAAGAGGCACTAAGGACCTAGCATGGTGCTGAACACATTGTTTCCCCTTAATACATGTTTCCTACATAATGGATTTAAAATACAAATATAAACTTTAACTCACATTATGGCTTAACTGATGCAGGTACTTATACCTTTATCATGTTCCAAAAAGATTTAAGGCAACTAAAAAACACATATAAAATATAAAGATAAACTGGAAGTAAATAAGAAGTCTCAACAGGGTAATTAAATAAGATGGAGCTGGTAAGCATATACTTGACAACTTCATCTTCACTGAAAAACAAGATTGTTGCATTTTCTTTAATAAAAGTATACAGAATAAACAGAAATAGGATTTTTCCTAATGAGGGGTCTAGAAACTAGGAATCTATGTTTTGATTCAACAAAACATCTTTAGTTCCAGAAATCATTGTTTAGAATAAACAACAGAAGAGAAGACAGTGCAGAATCTAGAATCAAGATTAGTAAAATCTGGGAGGAACCAGAGAAAAAGGGCCTTCAGAGATTTACCGGAGCATAGGGAACAGTAGTAAGTAAAAGTGTGCTTCTGAGATGTATTATGGAACCAAATGAACAAAACCCACTAGAGATCTATATTTAAAACAAACAACAAACAACAGGAAACATAAACCACCTTATCTCAGACACCCAGAGAGTTCACTTACCTATTGCTTGAGCTAAGGCTATTACAACCTCCTGGCAAGTTGTGACTTCGGTGACCCCACATACAATCCTCTGAACTCCATCCACCCATACTTTAAGTTCCATGGTGCACCAGCCAGTCACCCAAGGGCCCTGAGACTGGTCATCAAAGGTGTCAGGTCATGTCTCTGGCATGGAAACACGGAGAAGGCAATCTGTATAGTCAGCTAAAAAGAGGAGAAAACAAACATTTTTAATAGAACAAATCTTAATATTCCTTTGAGTAATTTTACATAAAACAAATATACTGTATAATGATCATGTGCTCATTTGTTTTACAGAACTAAATTAAGTAGCATGAATGCAGCTATAGCTACCTATAGTATTGTTTCCTATTACTATTATTTTCAAAATTATAATTTTAATCATAATTTTAGTCACTCTCTATTGAGTAAATAAATATTATTTACTTGACTAAGCCCTATTGCTCAACATATAAGCTATTTCTTTCTTTTCAAAAAAAATATTTCACTAGGATCATCTCTGAAGTTAAAATGATCATTTCTGTCATTTTAGTAATCATAAATAACTGAGCCAGTTTCCTCGACAGCCTTGCCAGCATTTGTAGAGGTATCTTCATAACTCCACTGCATTCCTTCATTTCCTGTGTCCCTTGCTTCCCTCTTTCCCAAAGGGCTGAGAGTGTAGTCTTCACCACTGAAACTCCAACACCAAGTGCAGCCTAAGGCTCGGGTGTACAGAAAATATTAGTTGAAGGAAATGACTCCTTTGATGGCTGACAACTTCCCTATGTATGGAGTGCTTGTCTTTTTCCCATTTAACTGGGGTTTGATAATTTTCTTAAATTATGAATTATTCTAATAAACCTTAACTTTTTATTGTACTCGCTGTGTTTCTCCAGTGTTTAATTTTTTATTTAGTTGCATTATATGCCAAGCAGAAATTTTTACATTCTTATATAGTCAAACCAAATACCTTGGTTTCTTCTATTGATTTGAATGTTATCATTAGCCTGCTTAAATCAATTGCGCATGATTCTTTTTCCTGTGGGTTTTTAAAATCTCACCTCTTCCTGTGTTAAATTTTTAATCAATCTATGATTTGTCTGTCCATTGTCCTATTTCTTTGTTATTTTTTAAAAAGAATGTTAAAGTTTATGAGATATATAAACACTGATTTAATTAAAGAGGACATTTGAAATTTTTAAAGGTTTACAATGGAACAGGTGTTTTGAGATTAATGACATTAAAATTAAGTTTATTTAAAAAACACGAACATTTTTTCTTGTAAAATAGTATTTACTACAAACAATAACTTAGTCCTTGTACATTCTCTTTAAGGACCTAAGACAGTTCTAGGCCACCTGGTCATCTGGGTAGATGAGTCAGAATACATGTGAGGTGAAAGGGAATAAACCTAGTAATAAACCTACTTTCCCAAGAGAAGTTACAGAAATACTTTTCGTCACCCTGAATACAAGGCAAAAGACCGCCTGAATGTTAACTCCCCAGCATGCTGCTTTAGCTCTCCCTGCCTACCCTGCAGCCAAGGTGGTTTCACAAACTCCCTACTTCACCAGAGAAAGGGCCGATTGCCTATGACAAGCTGATTCCCACAACTGTGTTCCTCAGTTATGAGGTCCTGTGAAACATTAAAAGTTTCTGGGGGAAAAAGGGTTGCAAAGCCAAAGAAATGTTAAGATACCCAGTAAATAAAGTTAAACAAGTTCCTTTACAGCTAGACTTCTCTGAGCCTTTAGCAGGTTGGGTGCACTGAATTTCAAATAAAAGATTTATATGCTACTGTCTCCAATCCATTCAGAGAACATTTAAGGAAAGAACACAGAAGAGTTCTAACTTAAAATCTGTTTCCTTCTCTGCCAGACACTCTATTTACTAGAAACAGAATATGTATTATTCTTTCTTGGGATAAAATTAAGATTAAAATATGGTCAAATAATGTATTGCGTTAAATTAATATATTAAATTATTTAATTAAATAAAACTCAGCTAAATTAAAAAAACTCAGCTGAATTAAAATCTACTTAATACCTAGGCCTTGTTTTTCATTAAAGGAACTTAAATTTGGAAAACCTAATAAGACAGCAGATCTCATTAAGTTCCCCTCCTTACAAAGGAACTTATGAAGCTCATTTTTAAGTTCTATAAAGGTTTCAGTACACCACCACATATCTTCCTATTTCAACTACTGTTTCACCATGCTTTTAATCATTAAGCGGATACAAATGAACATAAAACATATGTATATCTGTTACATACTACAGTATAGTAATGTTATGGAAAAGTACTAAACATAAATAATGCTTCTTAGTTAATATAACTTACAGGGTATGTATCCACTTGATCAGAGACTTCCTACCACAGCTCACCTTAGAGAAGACCAGCAACTACGTTTCTGTTTTAATACCATCAATAATATCTTTCAAACTTGAATCCTTAAGGAGGGTAAGAAATGCTATAATGTATCAGATTAATGAACCACATAGTCCAAAATCTGATTTCTAGGAGGGCCAGTGTTTTTAGTATATGGCTCCTGTCAAGTTTGGGGCTATACTGACAATCATCCCTAGCTTCCTTAAAAATCATGGTGTTATTCGTGAAAGTCATTTGAAGAATATGTCCTGCTATCTTCCCCAGAAGATCCTAGTACTCCTTTCTAAGAGCTACCACCCTCTTCTCTTCCTCATACCCTCCACTGTCTAACTCCTAAAGCTCTGCTCCTAGACCTATAACTAGACTAGAGGGGAAAATGGAAGTCCTACACTATAGGTGCATGTGATGGATTGGCCATCCCTGGAACTAAAGACTCAGGAAGCAAAAGGCTTTGGTGTCGCAGTTGGAATGTGAAATATATTTTTCCATGGAAACAGTGATGTAGGTAGAAGTAAGGTTCCACTGTAAGGGTATTAATATAGTTCAGTTATTGTTTTCATTATGAGGTTTCTATATTCAAACCACTACTATTTTAATAATTTTGATAATGAAGAACTAGGTTTATTAAGTAACAAGCTACTGGAGAACAAGTGTTCTTTAGCTAAGAACCATTTATTATCTTAAAACCTACTGGAATTAAGCATTTGCATTTGTGGAGATGTTACTCTTAAGACCACTGTTTTAATTAAGCAATGCAGTCAATCCTCATTATTCGTGGATTCTTTAATTGTGAATTTTCCCACTCACTAAAATTTATTTGTGGCACTTTCATGGTCATTCACAGACATGTATACAACAGTGAAAAATTTGAGTTGTCCGATCCCACATGATCCCAGCTAAGACTGGACAAGGCAATACTCTGTCTTCTTGTTTTTGCATTCATACTGTCAACAAGTGTCCTTTTCTCTGTCTATTTAGTGCCATGTTTCTGCAGGTTTGTGTGTGTGTGTGTGTGTGTGTGTGTGTAATTTCATAGTTTAAAATGGCCCCCAAACACAGTGCTGAAGTGCTATCTAGTGTTCCTAAGTGCAAAACTTGTGGAGAAAATACAATTTTGTGAGATAAGTTTTGATCCGGCACTGAGCTATAGTGCTGTTGGCTTTGAGTTCAATATTAATGAATCAACAATATATATTAAATAAGGTATTTTTAAACAGAAAAACACATTTAAAAAGAAGGTACTGATCAGTTGACAGAAATCACTGTGACCAAAGGCAATTGTGAATAACAAGAATTGATTGCATATTTTTAAATAATATAATATCCTTGTGATGGCAAATTCCATTACTCCCTGGACACTAGACATAAGTATACAGGTGGTTTGTTGCCAATTTTAACAACATTGCCAATTTTAATAATTGCTAACAAAATATTAGCAATTTCCTTCATTGCTAGTTTTGCTCAAGATCTGAGCTTATTTCATATGAAAAAATATTAAAATAAAATCTTCATAATCAAACTAGATACTTTAAGTCAAATACTGATGCTAGCCACTAGTTCTTTTAGCATCGTAAAGAGAGATTCAGCACGATGAATGTGGTATATTCTGAATAGTACATATTAGAACTACCAATAATCAAATACTAAAATTCTCCTAGATATAGAAAACTACTAAAAAAAGAAAAAAGCTAAAGGGAGCTTACATTACCTCATCCTAAAACTAATTTGATGTGGAAATTAAATGACATTATGTAGAAAAGCTGTTACCAATTAAAAAAGAATTAACTTTATAATATTCAAATGAGAACTGAGGTAAGGAAATAATGTCTATGGGTAACTGTTGCCCATGGAGATGAGAAAGGAACCGAAGATGAAAAAACCTGGAGAACACGACAGGATGAAAACAATGTGAGAGGAGGAAGAGAGCGTGAAAACACATTAGGAAGGGAGATACAGGTAAACTGTTTTTGGAAAACTTGCTCAGATGTCATTCATAGGTTACCTGCCCCTGAACTGCAATATTCAGGTGATGAATGTTTACAACACTTTGGTTCTGTATTTTGGAAATCCGGTTAAATATAAGTTGCTTTTAGCAAATCCATTATTTTGCTATAATGCAATTCTGCAAATGGTGTCACAGAAAGTGGGTTGTTATAAAAAGTACACAATGTTTAAAGTGGGCATCAAGCAAGATGACCATAGCTATAAATAAGCACCTCCCAAAACGAATTCTTGATAACCGTAGTCCTGTGAGATGCACCATGGGGAAATAAGGTTCCGAAGTCCAACAATTTGGAAAACATTTCATATCACACTGTCTCTGGGAGACGATGCACAGCAAGATGAAGGTTCTGATATCCCGCAGTAAAGAAACTGGCTAAACTTTGTTAAACTTACTCTGTGAATCGAGGAAGGTTGGGGGTGTGAAAAAGGGGCACAATGCCTATAAAATATCCCTAAGAACTACAAGCTACAAATTATCGACTTTTAAAACATATGCCTATATGTAAAATGAGATTTCTGCCAGCCTTTAAATGTATTTTGAAGCACACAGAAGTGGTGATAAATATACTGTTTAAAGTTTTACGTGTAAGAACAATAGAGAATAAATGAGAAAATTTGATAGAATCCAAATCTTTCTCTCTCTTAAATGGAAAGTTTTTATTGCCACAATTAAGCCACCTCTTCTAAAGATGGGTTTTATATTCTTCTTCTCAGAGACTCATCTAAATTACAAGATTTTCTTTGATAGTATGTTTTTAAAAGTTCATAATGCTAAGCAATCTGTGCATATTAATTATTAAATCGAATAA